GCACTCCCGGGAGCCTGGGCCATGCCACATTAGCAAAGGAGGCTGTGGCCAGAATCTGGACGGTCCTGCCCATTGCCTGACCCAATGGAAACCAGGATGAGATGAGTCAGCGTTTCACATTCTCTTTAAGTATTTTATATTTTGAGGTTTACTACAGCTCCAGATTTTGAAATACCCAACAATGTGCATCAAACTATAGCATATTTATTATGTTAACATTTCTGAAAGAGAAAATACTTATTAGTGGTACATCAGATAGAAACATTAGTGAATTTTTATCAGGTTACCAAATATTTTTCAGATAGTCCCTGAATTATGCACACACAGTGTGTACATGGCTTATCTATTCTACTTCCTGTTCTCCTTACATGTGCGTGTACAATCACACAAGCCCTTATAAAAGACCTTGGCCATTTTAATCAATATGTGTTTTTCCGTGCCACTAGATCAACAGTAGATGCTAAATAAATAATTATTCATTTCTTAATTTGTGTCTCACATAGGCATTTGATTTGAAAGTTAGGCAAAGATTTGATTTAATTCCTTTTTTCCCTCTGGTCTTTCTTGTGTGAACAAGTGGAGCGCTGGTTTGCACAGACATAACAAGCCTGGAGGCAATAATTGATTTTCAGTATTAATATGAGTACTGTTACTGTTTCTTCATTTTGCTTCTATTTTCCCCATGAATCAAATGAATAATTTTGTTAACCAACCTTTTTATATTGCTACAAACTCCTAATTATATTCTTAATTTTTGACTGAATGAGGCTTCTGTAGTTCACTCACTGTTGGATGCCAATCTTAAGTCAAGAAGAATAAAAAGCCCCTGTTTGCAACTGGAGCTACATTTGTAGTGGAATCAATACCATATAGAATAATTGGTGATTTTATTAAAGCCTCACATACAGCTTTCTTCCTGGAGTTACAGTTGGAATGAAAACTCTAGGGAGCACATGTAAATTCAGGATTTTTGAAGCTTGAACTATAGTGAGCTTATAGTTAAAAGACTTCATAATAGGGTTGGCAAAGGGTGCTGAATTTTATTAGACTTGTTTTGGCTGGTGAAAAAGATTTTTCAATTTTGTTTGATAAACAGCTTTGTGAAATCAATGAAACTTGATGGTTTAAGCATTGTCTTGTATACATTGCCTGATTGTAAAATCGATTGACAAATAGAAGTTGTGAGGCATTCGGTGAAGTCTTCATGAAGAGAAATACACGATTTTTAAACATCTATCCAAGCTAATTCTTTTAAAATCAAGTTTGTCTTTCAAGATGAAAGTTATGAGGAATGTATTACTGATTACAGATAGTTTGAATCAAACATTAATATACAAGAAAGCATCACTGAGACAGTAATATTTCCCAAATGGTACTCTGTGTGGTAAAAACTCCAAAGACCAGAATGTTTGGAGGATAGAGTATTCTTATGGATCAGTTTTCTGTTTATTGGAAGATTTTTGTTGTTGAGAAAAATTTTTAAACATATTTATTCCAATTTTCTGTTTTCATATAGTATATACAAAACACAGCAGATCATTTATTGAGCAGTGGAAACTTTTCTGAATTGAGGGTCATTTTCTGAATATGTATTATAATTGTTTTTATAGCGATTAAATACATATTATTAATTGCTAATTTCTTGCAAAGCCCTGTGCTATATAGCTCAGCAGAGGCAAAGTGATGATTACTATTTTGTACTTGTCATCAAAGAATTTACAGCCTTTGTTGGTTTCTTATATAAACAGATTATTTCAATAATAATTAATAATAATAATTTCATACTACATACCTTTTTTAAATATGCAGAATAAGAAATATGCAAAATACATAGGTATTACAGTTATAATAACAGATGTTTCTCCCAAAATTTGTTTAAGCTTCCATAAAAAATGTCAGAATACACTAACTAATTTAGAATACTTTCATTTAGCTTTACATATTGATTTTTATATATTGATAGTAAAGTATGGATTTTATTTCCAATTCGAGGAAACTTGTACAACATAAATTGTACATATATTGTGATGTGGCATTGTATAGGTTTTAGAAATGGTGCAGCAAGTTTACTCATCAATGTTTAGTTGCCCCCAGCAGCAGTTGCATTAAAATATAAGCTTGATCCTCATTGGAATTTATAATAATTAAATCTATATTTCATAAACCCATAGAGAAGTACCTTTTCTCAACAGACATTTTATAATTTTATAAATATTTTGCTATAAATTTCTTGTAGGCAATAAAATAAAGATCATGGATTAAGGGTGTTTTGTAGCCAGTCTCCAGAGCATGTTGAAAAAAAGAGCTGGACTTTGATCTTGATAAGGGTCACGTACGTGAGTCAATTGCTACTTGTTCTCCTGCTTATGTTGAATATTATTGTACTTATCAATAGAATTGTTTTTTAGTGTTTGTTAGTTTTAGTAATAAAGGAAACTTTCACAGAATTAATAACATGTTCAGACGACCAAAAACGATTTTGTAGTTTCATTATGATTTATGTAAATTCAGTCAAACAACTAGATAGAATAGTTAAAGTTATGTAAGGTCAAAGCTCATAACTTAACTGGAATTTAATCCCTCCTATGTGTAATATTTTAGCAGCTGGGACCAAAATTCGCCATTATCTTGATGTTAACGATGATAAAACAACATAAAACCTTGATTGTTTGAAGATCCTGTTCCTTTTAGCTCATTTCTCAGCCAATCTCTAGGGTATATCTCTCCTTCTTATGGTCCAAGATGGTGGTTCCGGTTTTAGCCATCGCATCTGCATTCCAGGTGGCAGATGGAAGGAAGGGATAAAGAAGAAAGGAGGAAACGTTGGGCTCCAAAAATGTTTTAAATAAAGTTCTAGTAAGGTGTCATACAACATGTCAGAACTTAGTCCCTTGTTAAGCTTATCTCAAGGGAGGCAGAGAATTTTTATTTGGGGTGGCTACACGCCCAGCTAAAATTGTGTAGTCTATTATTGTGAAGGAAGAGAAGAAAGGATATTGAGGATTCTAGAAGTCTTTGCATCCATCCTTATCGTTCTACAAAAACTGCGTTCTCTGGGGCAACAGATGAATTCCAGCATGGTATATGAGAGACTCTGCATTCGGAAGAGAGAAAGAGGAGAGTAACTTGGAGGTGATAAGCTGATAGGACCTTGGAAGCAGGAAGTGATTTTAAAAATTTCTTTAAATGTGAGGTTTCGAGAGAAATAGTCTGAAGATTATGTATGGTTTTTCTAGAGCTTCCATAGCAAAGTACAACAAACCAGGTGACTGAAAACAACCGTAATTTGTTCTTTGACAGTTCTGAAGGCTAGAAGTCCAACATCGAGGTGGCAGTAGGGTCATGCTCCCTCTACATTCTACATTATTCCTCAAGACTTTTGTTATTGTGTTGTGTCAGTAAGCAAAAGCAGGCTTTAAAGTGGCCCCAATTATTCGAACATGCCCATCTAGATTTTTTCTTTTCTACTCCGAAATCCATTCCCTTGAACACCACATCAGGCATGATGACTTCTTTGTCATTTCTGTGTGCGTTACACATGAACGTATATATGACATTATCGCTAAGCTCTGTTTCCAGGGTCTTCTAAGTTAACACTTTATATCTTGCCGTAAACTTGGTGTATGTTATGTAACTTACTCAAAGAAGATCTATTAACAGTCCATTTTTTTAACTTTATGTACTATTATTATAAGATTCATAATATATTTTTTCATTCTGTTGAAGATTAGAGTTGGTGCATTAAATAGTAAGGATTTCATTCAGGCAAGAATACAAAACATGAGAACTAACTAAAACTCTGACTTCTAGAAGACAGGAAAAATATCAACACACACACAACCTAAAAAACACACATTTGTATATGCTGATGTGCTCACATATGAACAGATTTGAGAAACGACCCCCCCAAGAGGTCAGACTAAGATAATTTATTAATAGTCCATTATTTCTCAGAACACTAGGAAAGATATGTAGTGATGACCCAGTTGATGTCAATAAATGTTTATATTTTATTACATAGTCTGTTTGTAGTGTGCGTTTATAAATGTTTCAGTCTAAGTTAGAGAATATTTGTATTTTAAAAGGTAGTATTTTTGAGGACTTAAAGGCACAAGTTTTAATTATGTTGAAAATTTACTCAATAACAACAGCTTATTTTGCAATAGAAAAATACCATTTTAAAAAATAAAGTTGTTACTTTTATCATGTTTTGATTTTGATTCAATTTACATATGTAGGCTTACCTATTAGAAAATAGAGTAAATTGTAAGTCTGAAAGAAAATCTTGTTTACATGAAATTAAGTGTATTTATGTGTTTTTTATGCTCACAGCAAATGTGATTAAGTTTATTCTCTTTGCTCTGTGTTTCTGTGGAGCTCATGCCTTCCTACTCTCTGTGGTTAGTACATGCAATTTGTGAATATAGATGTATGCTATCACTTATACGCGGAATCTTAAAAAGCCAGACTCTTAGAAATGGAGAAAAGAATGGTAGTTCCCAGGGGCTGTGGGATGGGGCACATGGAGAGATGTTGGTCAAAGAGTACAAATTTCCAGTTATAAGATGAATAAGTTCTGGGGATCTAATGTACAAGATGGTGACTATAGTTAACATTACTATATTACATATTTAAAAGTTTCTAAGAGAGTAAATCTTAAATGTTCTCACCACAAAAAAAAGGAAATGGAAGTTATGTGACATGATGGAGATGTTAGCCAAGGCTATGCTGGTCATCATTTTGCAATATATAAGTGTATCAAATCCACATGTTGTACACCTTAAAATTGTGTAATATGTTAATTATATCTCAATAAATCTGGAAAAAATAAAAGTAAAGATATTTATCAGTGAATGGGTTATGGGTCTTAATGACAGTCAAATTAGTTTAATTCAGAGAATTGGAGTTGAGTGTTGTGGCAGAGAGAGTTGAGTGATATTGTCATTGTGCATGTCATATAGAGGTTACGTAACTCCCCGTGTATCTTCTTGTCTTGGCAGTGTGTGCAGGAACAGAGAATAAGCTGAGCTCTCTCTCTGATCTGGAGCAGCAGTATCGAGCCTTGCGCAAATACTATGAGAACTGTGAGGTAGTCATGGGCAACCTGGAGATAACCAGCATCGAGCACAACCGGGACCTCTCCTTTCTGCGGGTAAAGCCATTTCTTTATTTCTCTTTTCTTCTTTGTGAATGGACGGTGGTATCATAATGCATAAAGACATACCAGCTTGCTTGGACGTGATGGCTATGCTTTTCTGCTCAGCAGGGACCATGACTGTAGAGAAGATAAGAGATACTGAGGCACACCCAGGAAAAGAACAAGAGTAGCAATTCCATCATGGTTGACATCTTGAGTTTAGAGTAGCTACTGTTACTCGAAGATTGATAGAAGATTCTGTCAGGGTGTAGTGCATGACATCTGGCAAGTTTGCCTTTCTCTGAACTGCAGGCCAAAAGAAAACTGTTAGGCTGGGCACTAGGAGAGTCAGAAGACTAATCAGATAAGAATTGGTAACTTTAGCTAGGCATCTCCTTTTCTGCCCTTTTTCTGTCACTTTGGAAATTTTAGACTATTTCATATTGCCATAATGAGACTAATACTATTATTTTTAGAAAAAAAATGACATCTGTTTTTGAAAATCTATGAATCATTTAAAGTAGACTCACAGGAAATTACAAGTACTTACACAGATCAGTATTCACATGCACATGAATGCACATATGTATGTACGTAGTTATCCAGAGGCGACCAGGCCTTTTACAAACATGTTTTGGCTCTCATTTACCCTTTCTGTGTTAAACAGGCTATTAGTGCTTAATGCCTACAGTTTCTTAAGTTTACTCTAACCACAATAGCTAGAGGAAAATCTGAATTTCACAGGGACTTTGAGAAAGTGAGATGGGGAGGTGTTCTTTTGTATAATTAAGAATTTACTCTTGGGCCGGCCTGGTGGCACAGTGGTTAAGTTTACATGTTCTGCTTCGGGGGCCTGGGGTTTGCCGGTTCGGATCCCAGGTGTGGACATGGCATCACTTGGCAAGCCTGCTGTGGTAGGCGTCCCATATATAAAGTAGAGGAAGGTGGGCATGGATGTTAGCTCAGGGCCAGTCTTCCTCAGCAAAAAGAGGAGGATTGGCAGCAGATGTTAGCTCAGGGCTAATCTTCCTCAAAAAAAAGAAGTTACTCTCTGTACAAGAATTAATAGGATATATTTTAAATAATAGCAACCCTAGAATATGTTTGATCTTGTTTTCAACAATATTTACATACTTCTTGTCCTGTATAAATCAAAAATGTTTTGAATAGTAATACAGTAAACTATTTAGTGGAAGTGGATAGTAAATTATTTAGAGAATTATGATAATTTTCATAATTCTGTACTTAGATAAGTAGTAAAAAAACAGTGATTTTTAAATATGTTGAATGTAATAAGTATGTCTAGAAATGGTAATAACCTCAGAAAATGAACCACCTCAAAACTTAACACTATGAGGCTTATGGTATCTGTTTTTAAAATGACTGTCATCTTAGGCTTGGTGTGGGAATGAAGAAGGCGTTTCCATATTCTACTGCTCTGTCAGAGCTCTGCTTCTGTGAGTTATGTGTCAAAACATTTTAATAATTATGATGTTTATTTATGACATTTTTTAATCAAAAGTAGATAATAAAAGTTCTCTAAATCCTAGAATAAGTATGCCTAAAAAGAACTTACTTTTTTTTCTATTTTGGACTATTGTTTCAACAAGGAACACATACAAGCTATTCTAGAACAGCCACTTCAAAGAAATGCATTTGAGTATTAATTATTAAAATTTCCTTGCAAGCTTTAACCTGTCTTTTTATTTTAAATTCTTTTTTTTTTTTTTGAGGAAGATCAGCCCTGAGCTAACATCTGCTGCCAATCCTCCTCCTTTTTTTTGCCGAGGAAGACTAGCCCTGAGCTAACATCCTTGCCCATCTTCCTCTACTTTATATGTGGGATGCCTGTCACAGCATGGCTTGACCAGAGGTGTGTGGGTCCGCACCCAGGATCCCAACTGGCGAACCCCGGGCTGCTGAAGCAGAACATGTGAACTTAACTGCTGCGCCACCGGGCCGGCCCCAGCTTTAACCTGTCTCGACTGATTATTTTAAAATAGATTTTATTCTTCAGCATTAAAATAAAATCTTGATGGTATATGAGCTGATTTGTAGATTTAGTTAGAAATGCCAAGAAGCTCAATGATGTTGTAGAAAAGGAAAGCTAACTGAGAGCTGAATTATGAATCTGGGGAAAGAAAGAGGTTAAATTGTCTATTCGAGAAGATTAATATGAGAAAATTTAAAAAGAACAATATAAGATCTTTGTTTTTCCTTTTGTGTTTTCTTTGTTTTGTTTGCTATATATGGAACTAGATTTCACTGGATTAACAAAAAATAGTCATGAGTATTGAAAGTGACAGTCTTTGAAATAAGCAACATAAAAGTATCTTAATATATACATTATAATTCTATAATTCTTAAGCTCTTATAAGGTAACAGGATAGAATTATCAAAAGTAGACTTTAGTCGGTTTTTAATCTTTAGAAACATGAAAGTGGCATACAGATCTTTGAGCAACATGGTCCATACTGTTGAATATTCTACTTTTATAGGAATCATTTTGAAGTAAAAAATAAGTTAATAGAATGAACGGATTTGGGAAGGGATAAAATAAGGAAGACCAAGGTTTCTACTTGGAAAGGAAATAAGTTGTTTCTTTAAAAAAGTGATTGTTGGTTGCTAAGTAGCATCTCTAAAAGTTCATATAAACTTTGTACTAACTCATGTACATATCTCTATTTTCATCTACTTATTTAAAGATAACTCTAATAGGGATTTTTTTATTATTAATAGCATCTTTTGTTTCATTTATCTTTTGTTCCTTTGGAAAATAACCATTTCTAATCATGACATATTCATTCACTCAACAAATCATCTTAGCCCAAGGACACCATAGCAAGTAACCTATTGTCCTTGACTTCAACAATCACGCAGTCTTGTAGAGAATTACAGATGTGTAATACATAAGTACTGATATGGATGTGTGTATATGTAATATATGTAATATATATGCACATACATAAAATTTTATAATTACTAAGACAGAAATAGGAGCCCAGAATCAGAATGAAGATATGGTCTTGTGTTAACGGTAGGCGTGGGTGCTGGACAAAGAAAGGAATGGCTAATTCTGAAGGATTCAGGAAAGCTTCCATCAAAAAGGTGCTTGAATTGAATTGTGAGAAATGAGTAGGGGTCACAAGGTGGGTGGGTGGAAGAAAAGGGCATTCCAGTGGCAGTAACACTAAAGGCTTAGAGAAAATGCACTGAGTTAATGTGTATTTAGTGTGTACTGCTTTAGATACTAGACATATGCATACAAATAAATCACACATGGTTCTTGCCCTCATGGGACCTATAGTGTAGTGTGGAGATAAATCTGGGATTAGAATAAAATATTAAATTAGAGGAGTAGACAGTCTTATACTATAGATAGATATCTACGAGGCATCAGCATCAAAATGACAAGTATACCTTTGGGGATTAGATAAAATAATCAAGGGAGGGTGAAAAGAGTTAGATCAAGAAGTGGCCCAAAGACAGAACTCTCCAGGTATCCCATTCTCTGTTTCTTGATGAACTCAGTGTGATGTCATGACTACTTTTCTTAGTAGGCCCTGAAAGTAGGGACTACTAGGTGACATCTTCATAATACTACTATATTGACTAAGCCATTATTTCTAACTATGCCTTAGAATTTGCTAAAAGCTCTTCATTTAATTTAAAAATTCATTCCTCCTGACAGCTACATTATGATTCATTTGTGCTTTTAGTAGCTTCTCTCCAAAATACATGACCTGTCCAATATTGATGCATTGCAATAAGTAGAGTCCATGTAAAGGAAATCTAGTTATTTCAGATCATGCTATCATGTCCAATAAGTTGAATCATATGAGTGAATAGTAAACTTTCATTAACCTATCCTATGGATTATGTGGCCCTCAGATATATTTATGTAACTGCAATTCATCGAGCAACTTCTTACAGAGGTGTGTGACTTCCCTTCTTTTAAGAATGACCCAAATCTATAATGTGTTTGGAGAAGCATTATGGATAGAGATCTTAAATTTCATTCTGGAATTTACTTCTGTTTTCAGGAACTTACTAAATCATTTTTGTTTTTAAAAGACTTTCCATCCTTATTTTCATCTCTAATTAGCAAGTTATAGTGTGTTGTCTTGTTATTTGTTTTGCGTGAAATCACTTTAATTTCTATGATTCGTGAGAGCAGCTTACACAGGTACCCTATTTACTTCTTTCACTATCTGCATAGTCAGGGCGGAGTGGGTCAATCAGACTCTCTTCCCGTGAGGATTTGAAATTGTGGCTAAGGGAATTCAGTTTCTGTATCAGTTAATTTCTTGCCCACTTAAGTACCAGAACACAGCCATATTTTTCCCTGTGGTCTGAAGTCAGAGAGAGCTGTGCAGACAGCAGAATGGAGCCAAGACACTGAAACAGACATGGAAAGCAGAGAAAGACTGTTCATTTCCAGGTTCCAGTCTGCTTCAGAAGACTGGTTGCATTCCTGCCAATGAGTCCTTAAGATACTCCCGGAACTTGATAGTAACTTTAAATTGATCTCCCCCTTTTTCCTTAAACTAGATAAGGTTGTTTTCTTTTACCATAACTAAAATATCTCATCTAGAACATCTCCAAGATCTCAAGAAGACAGAAAAAGTGGGCCTTTGAAATCGGGTTGGAGATGTGCTTATATGTAATCTAAAAAAAAACCCTATATGTTTTGGAGACCCTTCCTTAATCTTTGTTAGATATATCTTATGGAAATATTTTGAAATGCATTCTTTTCAAGATACTTTTATTATATCAATCTTGATGCTTATTTCTGTAAACACAGTATTTACCCAGATTTTATTTATTTATTTATTCATTTATTTGTTCATTTATCTCTTTATTTATTTAGTGAGGAAGATTAGCCCTGAGCTAACATCTGTGCCAGTCTTCCTCTAGTTTCTATATGTGGGTGCCTCCACAGCATGACTGATGAGTGGACTACGTCCACTGTTGGGATCTGAACCCGTGAACCCTGGCTGCCAAAGGGAGTGAGC